CATTCCAGAGTTTTAACTTGGTCTCAACTGGAGCCTGAAAAACTACGTCCCTTGACCGCCTCAACAGTACTTGCATTAACAAATTCAAATAACTAAATTAATACAAAAAAGTGATGAAATCCTGTATGGAATACCTGATGACTGGCCCACCATGGCATACATACATACGAGACGTAAGTATGCTGTTTCGTAAACCCGTCGAGTCAGGTCCAGCGCCATCCCGTCACAGAATATATACACAAAGACGTGTACGAACTTAACGCTGTGTATACAGAGTTTACTTTGGCGTTGAACTATGTTCACTATTTGAGTATACCTGCTGGCCTGCTAGTAAGCTGGTGTGGCGGTCGTTATAACTATCCAACTAACAAGACCAGACCAAAAGCCATGCCAACAGCCGGTCAAGTGACAACGAGACAACACAATATAAGCATCAGCTGGGGTACGATGTGGAGAATATTAATGGAGACTGGTGGCTACTGGATCCCCTCGAGCTGACGGAGAGCAAGGAGAGGGAGGTAGAGAGAGTGGGTTATCTTGGTTATCTTGAGGTTATCTTGAGATGATTTCGGGGCTTTAGTGTCCCCGCGGCCCGGTCCTCGACCAGGCCTCCACCCCTAGGAAGCAGCCCGTGACAGGTGACTAACACCCAGGTACCTATTTTACTGCTAGGTAACAGGGGCATAGGGTGAAAGAAACTCTGCCCATTGTTTCTCGCCGGCGCCTGGGATCGAACCCAGGACCACAGGATCGTAAGTCCAGCGTGCTGTCCGCTCGGCTTCCCTGGGGTTACGTAGTCTAAGAAGTATCAGCTATACAAGCAATTCCTCTTGCGATATCTACTACCCAATACTGGGTAGTGATTGACTAATTTGTATTCATAAGTGTACATATATTTCACATGTAACAAAGATAACAATTGGTATAGACACAAGCATACGCAGTACCTTAAAATACGGATAACTACCCACAGATAACCGGACCATGGCTGGACACGGGAGGGTTTTATTATTATTATTATTATTTTCTACCACAGACGTGGCCACACATTTACAATGCTAACCAGCATATATACATTTTCTTCTGTCCTTCATGGACAGGGTTAGAGATTTGCTTTTAAAATGCTAAGCTAACCTACATACGTAAATACATAGATACACAAATTTACGTATGCCCTACATAAAGTGTTCGATGTGTCTTTTACATAGTGTCATTAATGTGCATTTACAAAGGTAAAATGTAATTCTGATCAGCTTCCACATATACTTTATACACATACATACACACACATATGTACATATACATATATACACACATGCATTCACATACATTTGTCTTTTACTCTGACAGGGTGAGATAGCTGATAGAGAAACTAGTGTGCAAGTAAGCACTTAATCACTGAAGGTGATTAAGGTGCTTTTACAAGCTCAGGGTATATAATTACATCATATATATACATTGTATGATTGATATATTGCATGGTCAATCTTGGGTACAAGTCCAATATATCAAGTATTCCAGTACTCATAGTAATTACACAGTTCAGCATACCTTAGCCCAGGAGGACGAAAGTCAGTCAGTATGGGACATTCTACAATATAATGTTCAAGAGAGTGCATGTTTTCTCTTTCACAAAGTTGACACATTGTGTACTCGACATTTGGGTTTTGAGACAGCTGCCAGATACGTCTATATCCCAGGCGTATTCTGGCCACTATAACATCACATTGCCGGGTTCTTGTTCTATTAGTCCCATACGTGAATATCTCCTTACGATATCTATCATAATATTTAATGATACAACTTTCAGGTCTTTGTGAATTAGTTAGGTCGGTGAGGTTTTAATTAGATATTTGTTTAAGCATTCTCTTTGTCACTGCTAATGAAACACCCATATCAATTTCTACCACTGGTTTTCTACAGGCTGTCTTTGCAAGCATATCAACAGTGTCATGCCTTGAGATGCCAACATGTGATGGTATCCATAGGAATTTAATTTCAAATCTGTTTTCTTTGGCACCTAAAACATTCATTCGAATATCACTGACTATTTTCTGGGTGTTACTACTATGTGCGTTTAATGCCAGGAGTGCACTCTGCGAGTCACAGTATACAAGTCCACTGCCTTTGTCTTTTAAACATTCAGTGGCAAGGTATATGCCTGCAAGTTCGGTTTGAGTTGTATCTGTCCAGTCATTGACGCGCTTCATTGCTGTATGTACGAGAGAAGACTGTTCAAATATATTACATGCGCATCTAGTACATCGTCCACCTTCTTCTACAGAGCCGTCGGTATAGCACTGATACACATCGTTACCCATACCCCGAGTACTCTCAGTGATGCTTTTCAGTGTTAACTGTTTTAATAATGTAGAGTGCACACTATATTTCTTGGGTGCATTTACAGTTATCCCACGGAGTAATTGGTTGATTAATCAGTAATTGAGTTGGGTACATATTTAATATTTTGATGGAGTTGGCTACCTTGTAGAACCAAAATACATAATCAGATTTCGCTCTTCTTCCATAGACCTCAGGTGAGTGCAGCATTAGAAAGTTTAGCTTGAAACTTCATGTGTTGCCGAGATCTACTCAATGCCTTCACGCCGAAAACTGTGCTAATCGACAAAATTCTCTCACTTATGGTAGGTAATTTTAACTCTGCTCTCATATTAACTATTCTCGTGGACTTTAGAGCCCCAGGGATCAGACGCATAGCTTCATTTTGCAAGGTTTCAAGAGACTTTAGCTCTGTCTGTATACAGTGTGAGATGAAGAGCATTGTAGTCAATCACAGACCGGGGTGGACGTGCGTCCGACTCCTCCGGTGCCTTGTTCGTCTGTGGTGAACTGCTGGTTCTCCCTGCCTGGTATGCTGCTGGTGTAGCCCTGCTGTCAGTATGGGGTCATCCTCGCCCCCGCTGCTACGGTCCGCGCCGGCTGGTCTGTGGCTCTCATGCAAGGTGGATTATAGAAGCTTGTGTGTTACGATCTTCCACGTTTTGGAAGTAAAGGGTGAGAACCTGGTTGGTTTTTAGGTGCTTCGAGAGGACCGTACTGTGATGACGTCTGCTTCTGTTACGTCCTTCCAGGAGGACATGGTGCGTTACATGGAAAAGGTGACGCAGCTGCAGAAAAGCCGTGAATGTGTTGTCGACATCAGGAGGGGCCTGGCAGCTGATTGGACAGCGTTCGGGTTTCATAATCCTAAGTTTCCTGGTTCGATCCTCGCTAGAGGCGGAAAAAAATGGGCAGTTTCTTTCACCCTAATGCCTCTGTTCACCTAGCAATAAATAGATACCTGGTAGTTTGACAGCTACTACGGGGTGTTTCCTGGGGGTGTGTAAAAAAAAAAAAGCGTGGTCGAGGACCGGGCCGCGGGGACGCTAAGCCCCGAAATCATCTCAAGATAACATGAGTCTCTCTTCGTTCGACATTTGAAATACTGGATGCCTCATCCTTCGTGCCCTGGGTCGGTAGGGTACAGTGGAAGGTATTCGTCTCAACAAGCCCAGGACCTGTTATATGAATGTGGGTGTTGGCCATTTTGCTGCCGGGTATACTGTTGACCTGACTGGCCGGGTGAATATCTTCAGAGAAACGGACTTCCCTTCGGTGTGACAGCCAGGTGGTGGCCCTAGTGGTGAGGAGCCTCAAGTGCATGCTGTTGCTGGCTTACGTTCTGGGAGCGACGGAGTGTGGAGGGGAGCGGAGCCCGCGGTACCCGGCGTGCGGTGCGAGCAGGAGCAGAGGCGAGCCGTGAGGGTAGTGTGCTGGTCCATGGTTCACCCTCCCGGAGGTTGTGGCTTCATGGTGCACCAGGTGGGGGTGGTGGATGTGAAGGTCGCGCCTCCGGTGGGTGAGGTGGTGGATGACGTCCTGGACCCCCCAGTCTAGGAGAGGGCCAAGTACCTGGTGCTCGGGCCTAAGGCACGCCGGAGCGTCGGGAGATGAAGGCTGAAGTTGGTTGTGGTGACGTCATAGAGGACGCGTTCACCTTGGTAGCTACGGAAGGTCGTAATAGGTTGTTGGTGCCATCTGTGGTCGGGGGTGGCGGCGATGGCGCTGTGGAGCCAGCTCTTGGTCGGATGTGTGGTGGTGAGGGGAACCGGTTGGGCGGGGGGGGGGGGGGGGGGGGGGGGGGGGGGGGGGGGGGGGGGGGGGGGGGGGGGGGGCGGGGGGGGGGTAGTGGTGGTTGATGGCGGCCACTTCTAGAGCGATTCGGTGAGGATGGTGTTGCGTAAGGAGCCTGTGGATCCCTTGGGCCACCATGGTGCAGGCGGTGAGGGATGTGCACATGCTTGGGGCTCTATAGGGCCGGATGGTGCTGGGGTGGAGATTAGGGGGAGGGGTCAGTTCCTAGTGTAGGGCCCCCACACGATGGCTGGGGTAAAATGGGTGGTGTGGGGATGAAGATTGGGGCCGTTGGTAACTGTCGTTCATGTGCTTGATCTTTTAGTGTCTACTGTAACTGTTTCCCGCCGACTTGTGTCGGTGGGTCACGGCATTCTGACCACGGAATGAGACATTTTGATTCACATTTTCAGTCTTTGTGATATTCAGATATTGTGTTTCGTTCTGATTGGGACACCAGTTTGGAGGACATTAAGTACATTACATTACGACTAGAACCCCTAAAGTTGCTATTTAAGTACATTACATTTTGGCTCAACTTGTGATGACTTGGTCCAACAGGCAGTTGCTTGTAGCGGCCAACAGGCCCGGTTGGTCCGCTACTTCTTGCAAGAACTTTTCTAATCCGCCTCTTGAATACATCCACCTTTGTTCTAGCAATATTTCTAATGCATGCTGGAAGAGTGTCGAACAGCTGTGGACTTCAAATGTTCAGACAGTGAACTCTGATTGTGCCTATGGCGCCTCTACTCTTCACTGGTTCTATTCTCCATTTCCTTCCGTGTCTTTCCCTCCAGTATGTTGTTATTCTACTGTGCAAAGGTGTCTCTCGATTTTTATTTTTTTAATTCATTTTGGTACCGCAATTAGGACATTTTTTCTTTATTTTTGTTTGGTCTTACAATTAACTTCATATATTGCCTTGGCTGCGTTGTGGGTTTGTTGCAGGTAGTGGCTTCTCTCTTGTGGCGCTTGGTAACCATCCAGCCCTCCACGCCCGGCAGCCCCACGCGCAGCCCTCCACGCCCGGCAGCCCCACACGCAGCCCTCCACGCCTGGTAGCCCCACACGCAGCCCTCCACGCCTGGTAGCCCCACACGCAGCCCTCCACGCCCGGCAGCCCCACACGCAGTCCTCCACGCCCGGCAGCCCCACACGCAGTCCTCCACGCCCGGCTTTTGCCCCACACGCAGTCCTCCACGCCCGGCAGCCCCACACGCAGTCCTCCACGCCCGGCAGCCCCACACGCAGTCCTCCACGCCCGGCAGCCCCACACGCAGTCCTCCACGCCCGGCAGCCCCACACGCAGTCCTCCACGCCCGGCAGCCCCACACGCAGTCCTCCACGCCCGGCAGCCCCACACGCAGTCCTCCACGCCCGGCAGCCCCACACGCAGTCCTCCACGCCCGGCAGCCCCACACGCAGTCATCCACGCCCGGCAGCCCCACACGCAGTCCTCCACGCCCGGCAGCCCCACACGCAGTCCTCCACGCCCGGCAGCCCCACACGCAGTCCTCCACGCCCGGCAGCCCCACACGCAGTCCTCCACGCCCGGCAGCCCCACACGCAGTCCTCCACGCCCGGCAGCCCCACACGCAGTCCTCCACGCCCGGCAGCCCCACACGCAGTCCTCCACGCCCGGCAGCCCCACACGCAGTCCTCCACGCCCGGCAGCCCCACACGCAGTCCTCCACGCCCGGCAGCCCCACACGCCCGGCAGCCCCACACGCAGTCCTCCACGCCCGGCAGCCCCACACGCAGTCCTCCACGCCCGGCAGCCCTCCACGCCCGGCAGCCCTCCACGCCCGGCAGCCCTCCACGCCCGGCAGCCCTCCACGCCCGGCAGCCCCACACGCAGCCCTCCACGCCCGGCAGCCCCACACGCAGCCCTCCACGCCCGGCAGCCCCACACAGGTCGAGGTGGCAGTGTAGCATTCAATTAGGTTAACTGGTGAAGGTGAAGTGGAGGTAATTGGGCCACAAACCCCGCTGAATGAACAGTTCCATATATAACCCCCCATGGCCTCTCGCGCTGCCAGAGGCCAACACTGTGTTTTTAGTAGAGGGGAAACCTGCCAACTTTCCTGGGAAAACGCACCAATAAAGAAGCTATATAGCCAACATGTTAGCGTACGAACTCCTTGACCCAATAACCTACTGAAATGGGTAGACACCTTTCCTTGTACGCAGACCAGACCTGAAGCTTCAACACGAGGGCACAGGTCAGATGGCTCGTCAGACCCTTAACCCACCGAGTGCTGTCGGAGATTATATGATATATATATACATATACATAATTTTCCGATAATGTAAAAAACGCAAGTCCATCACGGGCTCACCATAGCCCGTGCTACTTGGAAGTTTTGTTCCGAGAACCTGAATCTTAAACAACAAGTAAAAAAGAAACTATTAGTTGAGAGGACGGGTTCAAGACGTGCCTCTGGCAGTGAACACTTACGTGTTCACAGTGACAAGTCTCCAGAAACACTGGGTAAAATGTCTTGGTCAAACACGTCCAAAACACACAGTTCTTCCCCGCTGTTGACAAACTGGGAAATATGTCTGGATAATGGCGGCCCACACGCCTTCCCCTCCTCTACAACGGACACCCTGCAGTAATGGTGATGCACGACGCGCGCGCCTGCACGCCCGCCCTTACCAGCACAGTGGCGGGCCTCTTACCATGTGGGACAGGTATACGAGAGGTAGGATCATGTGGGATAGATACATCAGATGGGTATATGTGGGATAGGCACATGTGGGACAGGGACATGACAGTTACATGTGGGGCAGGCAGGTGACACAAACTAAGTGGCTGTCATAACCACTCGCGTATACATGTGGATAGTCACATGACATTACTGCCAACCACAGAAGAAAGACAGGATTAAAGGAAGAGAGAGAGAGAAGTGAAAGGAAATAGGAGTTGAAAATAAAGAATAGACAAGAGACAGAACAACCCTCGACCCTCCAGAAAAATATACCTCGGTCAATTCCTTGACTAAGTAGGTCTCGTTCTTTGCATTATGATGATCAACGTTACAAATTCAACCAACTATATAAAGTAATGGTTTATAAAGTAACCAACATCTACGAATCCTCTGCATCGGACTCGATAGGTTAGGCGGGTTGCTTAGGTTTGTACGTTTCTGTTTAGGTAAAGAGGTTGAATTTTTGGACGGAGTGGCGAGTCTGGAGAACGGGTTGATCACGAGGCCTGGGCCATGGTCTGACACGTCACCTTATTTGATGGTTTTTATATATTGTGCACCCCATACCCACCCCGGGTGGTAGTGGACCCCCATACCCATCCCTCGGGTGGTAGTGGACCCCCATACCCATCCCTCGGGTGGTAGTGGACCCCCATACCCATCCCGCGGGTGGTAGTGGACCCCCATACCCATCCCGCGGGTGGTAGTGGACCCCCATACCCATCCCGCGGGTGGTAGTGGACCCCCATACCCATCCCGCGGGTGGTAGTGGACCCCCATACCCATCCCTCGGGTGGTAGTGGACCCCCATACCCAGCCCTCGGGTGGTAGTGGACCCCCATACCCAGCCCTCGGGTGGTAGTGGACCCCCATACCCATCCCGCGGGTGGTAGTGGACCCCCATACCCATCCCGCGGGTGGTAGTGGACCCCCATACCCATCCCTCGGGTGGTAGTGGACCCCCATACCCAGCCCTCGGGTGGTAGTGGACCCCCATACCCAGCCCTCGGGTGGTAGTGGACCCCCATACCCAGCCCGCGGGTGGTAGTGGACCCCCATACCCAGCCCGCGGGTGGTAGTGGACCCCCATACCCAGCCCGCGGGTGGTAGTGGACCCCCATACCCAGCCCGCGGGTGGTAGTGGACCCCCATACCCATCCCGCGGGTGGTAGTGGACCCCCATACCCATCCCGCGGGTGGTAGTGGACCCCCATACCCAGCCCTCGGGTGGTAGTGGACCCCCATACCCAGCCCTCGGGTGGTAGTGGACCCCCATACCCAGCCCTCGGGTGGTAGTGGACCCCCATACCCAGCCCTCGGGTGGTAGTGGACCCCCATACCCATCCCGCGGGTGGTAGTGGACCCCCATACCCATCCCGCGGGTGGTAGTGGACCCCCATACCCATCCCTCGGGTGGTAGTGGACCCCCATACCCATCCCTCGGGTGGTAGTGGACCCCCATACCCATCCCTCGGGTGGTAGTGGACCCCCATACCCATCCCTCGGCTGGTAGTGGACCCCCATACCCATCCCTCGGGTGGTAGTGGACCCCCATACCCATCCCTCGGGTGGTAGTGGACCCCCATACCCATCCCTCGGGTGGTAGTGGACCCCCATACCCATCCCTCGGGTGGTAGTGGACCCCCATACCCATCCCTCGGGTGGTAGTGGACCCCCATACCCATCCCTCGGGTGGTAGTGGACCCCCATACCCATCCCTCGGGTGGTAGTGGACCCCCATACCCATCCCTCGGGTGGTAGTGGACCCCCATACCCATCCCTCGGGTGGTAGTGGACCCCCATACCCATCCCTCGGGTGGTAGTGGACCCCCATACCCATCCCTCGGGTGGTAGTGGACCCCCATACCCATCCCTCGGGTGGTAGTGGACCCCCATACCCATCCCTCGGGTGGTAGTGGACCCCCATACCCATCCCTCGGGTGGTAGTGGACCCCCATACCCATCCCTCGGGTGGTAGTGGACCCCCATACCCATCCCTCGGGTGGTAGTGGACCCCCATACCCATCCCTCGGGTGGTAGTGGACCCCCATACCCATCACTCGGGTGGTAGTGGACCCCCATACCCATCCCTCGGGTGGTAGTGGACCCCCATACCCATCCCTCGGGTGGTAGTGGACCCCCATACCCATCCCTCGGGTGGTAGTAGACCCCCATACCCATCCCTCGGGTGGTAGTGGACCCCCATACCCATCCCTCGGGTGGTAGTGGACCCCCATACCCATCCCTCGGGTGGTAGTGGACCCCCATACCCATCCCTCGGGTGGTAGTGGACCCCCATACCCATCCCTCGGGTGGTAGTGGACCCCCATACCCATCCCTCGGGTGGTAGTGGACCCCCATACCCATTCCGCGGGTGGTAGTGGACCCCCATACCCATCCCTCGGGTGGTAGTGGACCCCATACCCATTCCGCGGGTGGTAGTGGACCCCCATACCCATCCCTCGGGTGGTAGTGGACCCCATACATATTCCGCGGGTGGTAGTGGACCCCCATACCCATCCCGCGGGTGGTAGTGGACCCCCATACCCATTCCGCGGGTGGTAGTGGACCCCCATACCCATCCCTCGGGTGGTAGTGGACCCCCATACCCATTCCGCGGGTGGTAGTGGACCCCCATACCCATCCCGCGGGTGGTAGTGGACCCCATACCCATTCCGCGGGTGGTAGTGGACCCCCATACCCATCCCTCGGGTGGTAGTGGACCCCATACCCATTCCGCGGGTGGTAGTGGACCCCATACCCATCCCTCGGGTGGTAGTGGACCCCCATACCCATCCCTCGGGTGGTAGTGGACCCCCATACCCATTCCGCGGGTGGTAGTGGACCCCCATACCCATCCCTCGGGTGGTAGTGGACCCCATACCCATCCCGCGGGTGGTAGTGGACCCCCATACCCATCCCGCGGGTGGTAGTGGACCCCCATACCCATCCCGCGGGTGGTAGTGGACCCCCATACCCATCCCGCGGGTGGTAGTGGACCCCCATACCCATCCCGCGGGTGGTAGTGGACCCCCATACCCATCCCGCGGGTGGTAGTGGACCCCATACCCATCCCGCGGGTGGTAGTGGACCCCCATACCCATCCCGCGGGTGGTAGTGGACCCCATACCCATTCCGCGGGTGGTAGTGGACCCCCATACCCATCCCTCGGGTGGTAGTGGACCCCATACCCATTCCGCGGGTGGTAGTGGACCCCCATACCCATTCCGCGGGTGGTAGTGGACCCCCATACCCATCCCTCGGGTGGTAGTGGACCCCATACCCATCCCTCGGGTGGTAGTGGACCCCATACCCATCCCTCGGGTGGTAGTGGACCCCATACCCATTCCGCGGGTGGAAAGTTTACAGTCATGACCATTCACTACCAACAGGAAACAAACTTTGGGCACTTGGCTAAGATTTCTGCTAGTACAGTAAGTCATCTTAAATGAAATACACATTTCTTGAACATGTGTAATAGTATAATAATTAATAATAATCTCTGATGTGTTTTCACATTCAATTGCATAGTGACATAAGGTTGTCGAGGCTGCCAACTGCTACCAACTGCTCTAAATTGTTGGTGTGACCTTGGGCTAGATTACCTGGCTGGCGTACACACCTCACAGGTCCTGGGGCTGAACCTGTCCGAGCCTGGGGCTGAACCTGTCCGAGCCTGGGGCTGAACCTGTCCGAGCCTGGGGCTGAACCTGTCCGAGCCTGGGGCTGAACCTGTCCGCGCCTGGGGCTGAACCTGTCCACACCTGTGTCTGTAACCTTATGTCCAATCGTGAACATCATTTGTTTTCTAAAACACACGTTCGTATTCACAATATAAATTCCAATCGTGAACATCATTTGTTTTCTAAAACACACGTTCGTATTCACAATATAATTAAAAAATTGCACCTCAGTGTATCCTTAAAAAAATGACTGGCAGTAATTTACTGGCAGTATACCGCTCGCACTGGCGGCATGTAATTGTTCTTTACCAGCACTTAATCTATAATTAACTTTCACCGTTATTTGACGCCCAACTATGGGTCGATGGTATCAGGACGAGCGAAGGAGGTGGCCTGGCCGCCTTCCAAGATATACCACATGCTTTATTTCAGTTGAAAATCTAAAAGTCTTTGAAAAACTACCACCAGCTGTAGCTAATATATGCAAACATGTGCATACATATGCAGTTAAAAGGTTCACGTCTTATGCAAATTGTCTTCTGCAGTCAAATATATGCTCATTTAGTCATTTCTCTCTCTCTCTCTGTCTCTCTCTCAGAATGACAGAACCCAATATTTTTATATCAT